TCCAGGGCTTTGTATGTGATGGTAGTTTGATGAATCTTTTGACAGATGTGCAGTCAGTGGAGTGACTGCAAAGTGGATATGGAAGGCATGCTCCAGATAGCTCCCGACATTAACAGAGCTTCGGCATTCTCTGATCTGACTTCAAGGGCAGACCTATGTAGAGTGCAATACAATACTCTAGTCTTGAGGTTACTGCAGCAGGATCTGGTGGCCAGATCGATAGGTCAAGTCAAGGTAGAGAACCTTTTTCTGGGCTAAACTGATTTGGAAGCCACATTAACTTCCTTCTCCAGTAGTCAACGCTGGATCCAGTATAACCCCTATGCTCAGTGAGAGTCAGTGGAACCTCATCAAAGTTTGGAAGCAGAGTGCCCTTAAAATCTCAGACTTCTCAAGCAGCATTACCTCTGTCTTGTTGGGATTCAGTTTGTTTATTCATTCTTAGCCATCTGACCACAGCAGTCAGGTAGTGGCTCAAGACCTCTGCTGCATTACCAGTTTGGATAGAGAGGTACCTATATCAGCATATGATACCCAATTTCAAAACTACAAATGATTTCTCCTAACGGTTTTACATAGAGATTGGATAGCATCAGAGATAGGATTGCACCCTGTGAAACCCCACAAGTATAGGTCCCACGCTGATGACAACTGGTCACCAATGACAGCCCTTTGAGTCCAGTCGGTACGGATGTCTCCATACTTACTTCTCCCTCCAAATGTCTCAACAAAATGGCATGGTCCACTTAATCAAAGGCTGCAGTTTGGTGTAGTGGTTAAGTGCGCAGACTCTAATCTGGGAGAACCAGGTTTGATTTCCCACTCCTCCACTTGTACCTGCTGGATGACCTTGGGCAAGCCATAGTTCTGATAAGAGCTGTCCTTGAAGAAGAGTTTCTGTCAGAGCTCTCTCAGCCCCACCTACCTCACAGGGTGTCTGTTGTGGGGAGGGGAAGGGAAAGGAGTTTGTAAGCTGCTCTGAGACTCCTTTGGGTAGTGAAGGGCGGGGTATAAATCCAATCTCTTCTCTTCTTCTTCTTCAGATAGATCCAGTAGGAGCAATATATATGTGAAGCTGCCTTCTACCAAATCCTGTCATTGGTCCATTTATTATCTACTATGCCAAGCAGTGGTGGAGTCCTTTGGGTAGAGGTCTTTCTCAGTCTCAACTACACATGGATCTGGGAGTTCAGTAAATGGAACTCCTAAGTCCCCCCCCCCTTCTATCTAAAAATCAGGCATGTAGGGCAAAGGAAGGGGGGAAGCCTCCCCCCCCCCCCCCCCCTCCCCCCCCCCCCGCTTTCCCGACTGGAAACAGTTCTAGGGAGATGCAACTTGCCCCACTGGGGCAAATGTACAGGTTCTCAAGAAACTGGCCCTGGGAACCTTTGCGTGAATGTGAAAGGTAAACATTACAGTATGGAGCTGTGTGCCCTTTCCAGCGTTGTTTACAGGTTGCTGTCTACCTGGACTGTACCTCTTGCATTTCTTGGCCTTTTTGCAGCCACTATTTACAATTTTCTTTATATCTGTACACATTCATATGTAAGCTGCAGACTGCTAATGACATATCTCATGTATCTAACCATGTGGATCTATGAAAGCTGGGATCTACTAAAAGGAAGGACAGGATTTCCCATTGGAATTACATCCCATGAAAGCTTATGCTACATCTGCTAGTGTTTAAACTTCAGGGGCGGTCCCTTTAAGAGTAACGCGCTTCCGCCTTCATCAGAACACGTGACCAAGGACGCGGTGTGGAAGCGTTTTCTTCAGCGAAGGCACCAAAGCGATCACGTGACAACGTGAGGAAGAGGCGCGAAGCGGTCCAGCACTTTTCTTTAGGGAGGAAAAGAGAGGGCGCACTAGCCGAGGATCTCGTTAATTTTCTTCCAAAGCGTCTTACTGGAGGACCGGAGCACTATGGGCTCTACGGTGCCGGTCTAGCGTGTAGTGCTGCGGGGCAGCCGCGCGAGACCAAGACCCACCTGCCCGATTCGCGGCGGCGGGACGCGCCAGGTACGTCAGTGCGTCGCGCCGCAGACTGTCACGCGGTCGGTCTCGTTCCCTTTTCCCATTGGGCGGGGAAAGAGGGTCATTCCGTGCCATGCCTGAGTCGCTTCGCATCGTGGCCAATAGAGGGCGCTCAGCGCCGACAGGTTCCCAGAGGGTAGGACGGGCTCCAGGCCAATATTCATGGAAGTGTTGGGTTCATGTTGCAGCCTCCTTTGATAAAGCCCCCTAGAATAGATGCATCCTGGCTCCTCTGGCTGAGGGGCAGAAGTAGCATGAGAGGTACCTCCCCTGTTTCTTGGTGTTCAGAATCATCATCGCCATCAATGTGCATAATCCAAAACCAACACTGAAGTAATAACTTGTATTGAGACCACATTGTGTTGCATTATTTTTGTTGTTCTTAATAAAAGGCATTTATGGATTTTGTTTTGCTATGGACCAACACAGCAGCATCCATTTTTAATTGATAGGAGTCATGTACTTGGGTCTGGCTTCCAGGACTTTACAGCTCTAGTCCCCGGAAGGATCCATTCTGAGCTCACCAGCTGAATTATAGAAGTGGCAGAATATCACCCATCTCTGCACTGCTTGGCTACCAGGACTGTTTAACAGGTTTCCTAAGCCTGCCTTTTTCCAGCACTACTTGAACCCAAGGCAGTTAACAACAGTCAGGCAAACAAAAAATAATATCATAACTAAAAAAACTCAAAATCGGTAGCCAGCACACTGCTGATCCTAGGGAAATCATCAAGCCAGAAAAACCCTGTTCAGCCCATATCAATTGCCCTCCTAAATAATTCAGTTTTGTAGCCTCTTCTAAAAGACAAGATTATAAAGCCAGCCTGCCTTTTCCAGGAGGCCGTTCCAGAGCAGAAGAGCAGTAACCAGAAAAGCCTGTGCCCAGGCAGCCATGAAACAAGGGTGATAGTCTACACTGCCTTAAAAAAGAGAATAAGAACCCTGAATAAAGAATGGGAGACATGTATATAAGATTTGCATGTGCTAATTTACATATGTAGATACAACTTTCCACATAATTTACATATGTAGATACTGCTCACCATGGTACCAGCTCTGTCTGGGACAACAGGTAGAGCTCCTTGGGTGACAGCCTGTCACTCAAATGTTTACAAAGGATTTCTTTAGCAAAAACAGAATTAATATGAAGGGGGAGGACAGTGCTTAATTTGCTAGAAAAGATTGTTTCCTAATCTCAGTTGACTGGAAGGGGAATGGGCTGCAAGTTTGTACTTTGGATGTGTACTTTGTGCATGCTCAGAAGTGCTCTTGTTTCCAGGTAAACAGATAAGCACAGCTGCCCCAACTAGTGCAAGGTATGGGTGATTCAAGCTGCAGCCCTGTGCACATTTACTTGAGTGTGTAAGTACCATTTAACTCAGTTAATCTTGCTTCCAAATAAACACAGATAAGACTGAGCTGTCAAAGTCCTCACACCAGCTAATGAAAGAGACAATAGATAAATGCCATCTTAAGCAGAGTCACAACCTTCTCAGTCCACAGATGTCAGCGGGTCTGGAAGTAAGTAACTCTGGTTACAATTGCACTGTTAAAGAGGCCTGCTTAAATGCAGCACTGATCCCAGATCTTCTATTGCTACAGCTGTGACAGGCTCCTAATTACTGAAATGTAAACACAATCAAAGGAGCTGCGGTGGCTCAAGTGGTTAAGACGCTGAACTGCAGGCTGTGGAAGGTCAGTAGTTCAGCAGTTTGAGACCCGAGTTGCCGCATGATGGAGTGAGCTCCCGTCTCTAGTTCCAGCTCCTGCCAACCTAGCAGTTCGAAAGCAAGAAATACTTGATAAATAGGTACCACTTTGGTGGGAAGGTAACAGTGTTCCGTGCGCCTTGGTGTTTAGTCATGCCGGCCACGACCACGGAAACGTCTTCGGACAGCGCTGGCTCTTCAGCTTTGAAACGGAGATGAGCACCGCAACCCTAGAGTCGGACTTGACTGGCTTTCGAGCAAGGGAACCTTTACCTTTAAACACAATCATGTTAGATTTCCACATAGGGGAAATAATATAATATGTGTGGTAGATTAATCTTACTAGGTTTCTGTATGTCTGTATGTCCACGCAGTGGCTACGCACACGAGCCATACGAGACTGACCAGCTGTTCAAAGGTGACTCCTGAGCAAAGAGCAACTCCAAGGTAAACATTTGCCCGATAGCACCCTGCCTGTGATAATCTGTAAAGCCAAAAGCAACTGAGTCATGGTCTAAAGGGAAGGTAAAGAAGGGTGTCTAGCTGAAGTATGCCAAAGGAAGAAAATTCAGCCTGTGAATGGCAGCTGTGAAAGAACAATGGGAGGGAAATCTACTGAAATGCTGGGGAGAGAAGCAATGGAATTAAGGGCTGGGGAACTGTTGTGTGGAAGCAGAAGTGGTGCCAAGGTTCCCACTTCACTCATTGCGAAACTAGCAGGCACGTTGCATGCATCTGCCAGACGACTAGGCCATAAATGAAAGCGCTAGATTCACCAAAAAGGCACACAGTCAGAAAACAATGTGTAGTAGTAAAGCCACTGCAGAGCATGCCACAAGTACAGGGAGAATGCCCACTCATTTTGTAACATGTTTGCCCTATGCAAGAGTTGGCACCTGTCACTCAAGAGTAGAAGGTTTGTGCTCTGCCTCCCAAATGCATTCCTATAGAAGATCTGCAAATAGAAGCCATAGCAGTGGTGGAAATTGGGAAGCAAAGAAAAGACAAAATAGAGGCAAAGAGGTAAAGCTTTCTCAAGTTGCTAGGGCCACAGAGCTTTGCAATGGGATAGAGCCACAGGGCCAAGTAATTCCTTAGATGGGACATTTGCCTGATCCCTTTAGCTTCACTATATAACTAAAGACACACACAAATCATGGCATTCATACCAGCACAGGATCACTAACCGTCCTAGAGAAAAAAATATCCTGTCCTTTTAATAGATATCCTTCTTGATGTTTTCCAGGGGTAGGTTTGGCAAGATCTGGCTATACATCAACCCTGGAGAAGATGAAAGAGACAGAGTTGCCTGCATGATGTGCCCAGAGAGGCTAGTGCCAGTGAAGCCACCGCTGGAGTTCTCAGTGGATTGATTTGACTTCTGCCTTTTTGGCTCTTCCAAGTGCCTTGTCTTTAGGTTTTGCAATGAACAGATTTGACTGGTTTGCCCCCGCCATGCTGCCATCTGCCTCCAGGTGTGTGCAAGACCTTCTGCTAACCTTTGCATTCTCTTTGGTCTCTGCTTGGGCAGATGACCGTCCAGTGTCTCCGCACCATGACTATTGCATCATTGGGGCTGGCCCCTCAGGATTGCAGATGGCCTATTTTCTCCAACGTGCAGGCCGGGACTATGTGGTCTTTGAACGTAGCCACATACCAGGACATTTCTTTGCCTTGTATCCCCGCCATCGCAAGCTTATCAGCATCAACAAGCGCTACACAGGCAAAGCCAACCGTGAGTTCAACCTTCGCCACGACTGGAACTCACTACTCAGCCATGACAGTAGGCTTCTTTTCCGACATTACTCCCCTGACTACTTCCCTAACGCCGATGCCATGGTGCGCTACCTGAGAGACTTTGCTTCCTTGCAAGACCTCCAGGTGCGCTACAACACATCCATTACTCATGTGATGCTGGAGAAGGACACCAAGGCATGGAACGGACACTACTTTTTCCTTACTGATCAGAACGCTCAGCTCTATAAATGCAGGTGAGTATCAAAGCATCCCACCTAACCTGTTAAGGCATCCATGTGTTGCAATTCCTTCTGTCGTGATTACAAAATGGTAATTCCCTCAAAGTGCCACCTTTCTTGGTCTTTGTCCTAGCATGATGGCTCTTTGTTATACTGAGACAAAAACAACAGCTTGAGTTGCCCCCTAACTTAAGAGCTAAAACAGGTTAGTAGAAGCCCCGTGTGAAATTTTAGAAAAGGATGAGCTGCCACCTACATAAAGGTATTATTGACTCTTGGAATATTGGACCATGGTCAACTAGGAAGCCATCAGCTGAAAATATCTGAACAATTAATTGGCCAGCATGCCAATTCTAATCATAACTAATAGCTGTTGATAGATCTGTTCTTGTCTCCTACTTGTAACTGTGAATTCTATACAGTGTGTTGTGTACAAAGAGGTTTGTACAACCTTCATTTTCTAACCCTTAGTATTATGGAAGTGGGACAAAGATTTCAAGAGACATGCCCCGCCATGCATAATTTTATAAACTTCTGTCCTGTTCCCCATCTCCTTAGTCATCATTTTTTCTAAAATGAAAAGCCCCAGACTCTTTCCTTGTAGAGAAGATTTTTCAGTGCCTTGATAGTTTTGATTGTCATTTTCTATATTTTTCTGCACTCTGTGAGGCAAGATGATCAGAACCCTTTGCAGTATTCCAAATGTGGTTGCATCATATAAAGGTAGTGTAAAACTAGCCGCTTTATTTCCAGTCCCTTTCCAGTACTGAATAAGCCTTTTCCTCCTGCAGCTGCACACCGAGACTACATTTTGTACATGCCTGTGTGCACTTCCATACACTGTCTGATGTTTTTTTCCTCCAGCATTTATACATTACAAGGGGGGACCCGCGATACTCGCGGGGGGGTGGTGGAGGGAGGCAGAGGAGGAAGCAGCAGGAGGAGGTAAGTACCCCCCCCATCCTGCTGGTTCCCCCCTGTCCTCCACCCCCCTCCGTCTCCCCCCATTGCCTCTCCCCCTCAGCTCCTCTCCCCCCCCAACCCGGCACTGAAGCCAGGGCCCCCCTCGCTGTTTCCCTCCCCCCTCCCAACCCGGCACTGAAGCCG